TAGGCCACCTGAGTTTACCTAGATCTCATGTTTTTAAGCCCAACAAGCCTTTCGGACATTGCAGCTCTTTTCAGTTTCTGCTTAAGTAGAATACATTCTTTGCAGCTAAAGAAGCTGACGAAACCTGGGAATAAAATTTGAAATAAAGGCTAATGAAAAAAAGAAATAAATTATGGGAAAGCAAACAAAAGAGTATTTTAGAAAAGAACACTAACTTTTGATGTCTTCCTAAGCATTGAAGGTCAAATTCATTTTGATGAATATTTAACTGCTCTTTAAATACTATTTAAGATTATTTAAAGAAATAAAAATAGGCTAAAATAGAAATAATTGAAAGACTGCAGAAGGTCATCAGAAAATGTATTCTTCTCCAGCACTGAGAGCTAGGTGGGTGGTTTCTTCAGTCATGTTGTTAAGTGCTGCCACATTGTTCCTGACTGAGAGCAACTGTGTCTGTAGCAGGATGCGTTGCCTGTTCCTTCCCCATCCATCCTCAAACAGTTGTATCTGTATTTGAATTCATTTAATTAGTGTTCTTTGGAAGCAGTATGGCATCCACTTCCTAAATAACTTGCCTCCGGAAACTAACTCTATGAACTTTGATCAATGTTGATAGTTGTAGAGGGGCTTCAGGCCTTTTGTTCATAGGGTCGCTGTAAGTCGTGCTCAACTCGTAGGCAATCAACAATAACAATTAGTGTGCAGTCTATCAAATGTCATCTTGAGATGATCTCTAAACCCAGGTGACGATACAAATTCTGACCCAATTCCATTTCTTTACTAAAGGAGACATAATTGGAGAGATTTGCTAGTGGCCTGCCGTTTCTCATTATGGGCTGCTTTTGTATTATTTGGGGCCATATGTTTAAAAGGGAGTCACATTTCTCTTTTACTGTTTGCTGTGTTCACAGGTCAGTGTTCTCAGGCCTCTGTGCTTTGGAGCCCCGGGGCATGGTTATACTGAACTGGAATGTGTTTCGGTCACCTTTGGTGCTGGCTGTTGGGAGGGTCAGTAGCCTGCACGGCCCATGGTGGGTGCTGTTAGGTGTCAGAAGGTTGGCTCTCACTCAGTGACCTGCTGTGCACGAGAAGAAAACTGCCGAGGTTGACATCCCCGCTCTCTGCCGTGCTCAAACCTGCTTTTGGCGTCACCATGTTAATCCATCTCATTGAGAGTCTCTGAAAAGTAGAGAATTGGTTTCACTTGGCAGAGAAAACAAAGGCCGAAGTATTGCTCTGCAGAGTCTCACAAGCTAATGAAGCCACCTAGTGGTCTGTTGCATAATTGAATGTCATTTAACGCTCACAGGGTGCTCTCATTGATGGGGTGTGGCTGACAGTGGAGCCACTTTCCCTCTAGTCCAACACGCAGGCTCCGTTTCATTCAGGATGAGTGCGGTGATGCTCTCATATGTTATTTATAACCTGTTCACCCAAAGGATTTAAGGCAACTCGACACAGTGGCCACCACAATGGACTTGAACATGACAGAGATCATGAAGACAGTGCAGGTTAGGACGGAGTTCAGACCCGTTGTTTCTGAGGTCACTGTGAGTCACTTGATGGCATCTAACAAGCAAGACAATAATGGGGGATGGTATAAATGAAAGAGGAGAAAGAGAAAATGTGAATAGGAGCAAAGACATTAAAGGAGCCCCAAATGATGGTGATTCTAAGCGATGAAGTCAGAACAGACTTACAGCTGACCGTCCAGTGGGTTTTCAGAAACCTCAAATGGCACAGGAGGAGACGGCCCCTTTCTCTCTCCCCCATGGAGAAACTAGTAGATTCAAACTGTCTGCCTCTGTATGGACCTTAAAACACCTTATTCACTAAGCCACCAGAGATAGGCCTGTTCAAAAGTGATTACTAAATCCTAATATTGACTATCAAAGACAAAATTTCCACTCAGAGGGAAAACAGATCAGTTATAAAATTTACAGTACCCAGAGTGCAGGAAAATAGCACCTAAAGGTAGAAAGAATTTTCCTCTGGAGGTCTGAAATGTATAATGTAATATAGCGTGGGATAGATTCAGTCCTTATGGGAAAAGTAATGCTGAGTCTTGGAGAACTCTTTGTCTCCTCTGGTGTTGAGGTAGGGATGTGGGTGTGTGGGTGTGTGGGTGTGTGTATGTGTGTGTGTGTGTGTGTGTGTGTGTGTTCGTTCGTGTCTACATGCATGCATAAACTGAGCCAGGCTTAGATTTTGTAGTCATTCATTTAATCCTTTCAATAAGCCTGGGTAATTGTCATTTCATGCAGTTGGGTCCGTTTAGGCTCAAAGTGACAGGCCACCATACCTGTTAGCTGCAATGCAGCTTGGCTTCTGGCTAGTGGCACTTGCAAAGTCCACTCCCTGTGGTGTGGAAGAAGAACAGCCAATGTGTATTGTGTCGGGAGGGTCCGGTCCCTGGAGGACATCATGCTCGGAAAAGTGGAGAGTTGACAAAGGAGAGAAAAGTCCTCAAGGTGACGGCTGACACCCCGAGCGGAGTGATGGACTTGAACACAGTGTTGATTGTGACAATAGCTCAGGACTGGGCAGTGCTTCAGCCTTTTGTACAGAGAGTCACCATGGGCCAGAATTGACTCCCTGGCACCTAACAATAGATGAGGCTACTGAAACACAAAGAAGTTAAAAAATTTATCAAAAATCACATCACTGGTAAATGATGCAACTAGGATTCAAAACTGGGTCGTTCAGCTCTCAGACCTATAAATAGAACATCATTTCCAAAATGCTATTTGAGAGGCTAATTAAGCAGAACAGATAGGTCTGTCCTGGAGAGGGTGAAACCAAGCTGCTCCCTGGAGGCAAGGATTCTGAAGCTCCATTTCACAGACTTTGGGTACGTGGCCAGGAGGGACCAGTCTGTGGAGAAGGACATCATGCTTGGAAGGGTGGAGGGACAACGCAGGGGAGGAAGACCCAGGATGCGATGAATTGACTGAGTGACTAGAGAAATGGGATTAAGTCTCTTGAAGACAACAAGATAGGTTCAGGACAGGGCAGAGTTCAGAGCTAGTGTACACAGGGTCACTATGAGTCACAGGTGACTTAATGGCACATAAGAACAACAACAACATTAAATGAAAATAGTAAATACTTGAAGTCTTCCTACTCCCAATGTCTAGTATAGTCTGTGAGGCAATATCTAATTCCTTCACGTTTTAACATGATTTTAAAGAGGAGGTCAGAACTGGGAACCCAGTGGAGGGGTCTGATGGCAGTGGATTAACTATGCTTTCCTGCACACTGTTGTGAGAATACATTCCTCCTCGCCTCATTCTTTGCCTCCCTTCTCTCTCTCTGACTTGACTTTCTCTCCATCTCTCTCTCTCTCAGTCTCTCTCTCTCTCTCTCACACACACACAGGTTTGTTCAAAAATAGGAGAACCAGTAAAGAGGTTTTCCGATTTCTCACACCATGACTTCTAGAAAATAGCTGAAATCCCATGTCTTTTTTAAAAATGGCATTTTCAGATATTACATCTAAAATGCAGTCAAAACAAAAGTCACTTGCCTCGTTTTTATTTTTCTAAGCATTATCGATACACATTTTTGAATGGCAGCTAAATTGGTTTTTCTTCCCCAGTCATGGAAGTTGATTAGCAATGGGGAAGGCATGCCTTCTAAGAAAGCTTAATGGGAAGTAATGGCACATTGAAACGTTTTGCATTCGAGGAGTCAAAATATCCTATAACTTGGGACTTAAATTGAGCATTTAGAATGTTGTTTTAAATTGTGCCTTGGGATAGTTGCATGGTTAATGTCTTAGCAATGAAAGAGGAAAAGCTACGCGCTATAAAATGACTGTTCTCTATCAGTAAGTCTTTTAAAAACGAATTTCCATATTTTAAAGGCGCACTTAGCTGGATGAAGATTCTAATGTTCCTGAAAGATTCAGTGTCTCTCAGTGTATGGAGACTAACATAATGGCCTCTTAAACAAATAAAACTTTCAGAATGATAACCTTTTAATAATTCTGCAGAGTGCTTGAGAAAATCATACTGTAAAGGAGATATAAATGAAAAAGAGAGATGCTGAGATATGTTATTGTTGTTAGGTGACTCAAAGCTGAGACGTGGTGATGGGAAATTGACTGAGAATAACTGAGGAAAACAGGATTTGTGACTTCCAAGTCTGTTTTACTCTGACAACAAAAGGTGTATTAAATTCTTTGTGTCAGTTTTCTTATGAGTTTGGAGTGAGACCTGGGTTTAAATATCAGTTCTGCTACCTTTTAGTCTGTGACTCTGTTAACCTCTCTGGGTTTCAGTTTTTCAACTGTGAAATGGTCTTAATCATGGCCTTTTCTCCTCCATTTTTAAAAATGAATTTTAATGAAAGTTTACAGAGACTTGGAGTTTCCAGTCATTCATTGTTGCACTTTTCTCCCTACCCACTCCCTCCCCCAATTCACTCTTCTCCTTGAAAAAGAAAAACTCTTTCATTGTTATTCAATCCCTTCCCCTCCACTCCACTATGCAGCCTTCGCTCTGAACTTCTGTAATGACAAGAATCCCCATTCATGTATCCCTTTTAAACAGTTCTCTCCCTCATCTGTTTCAATGCAATATACATCATTCCTCCCCTCCTTTTCTTAATCTTGGCTTTTATTGAAGGGCACACTGTGTGTAGGTATTGTGCTTTTAAATGTCTATATTCTTTATAACAACATTGTAAGGAATATGGAACCATTTCCCCCCTCATTTTAGAGATAAAAACACTCAGATGGAGAGGGGAGGAAAGGTGGTGGGTTTACGTCAGGTAATGGATGTGGTGGGTCCTAGTGCCTGGGAGCGGCAGATTCTCCCACACTGGGATTTGCTCAAAGTCCAGGTGCCTCTTTCTCCGCCGCCTCCTTTTCTCCCTGTAGGCATGCTTTGAAGATGAATGAAGAACAGAACTGCATGTTTAGACAACATTAAATTCGGGAATGAGAGAGGTTTAGCCCAGAGAGTACAAATAAAAACCGTATTCTTATTTACCTACAGGAATGGCAAAAACTCAACTACGATATCTATGCCCTGCGGCAGATTCGACGGGAAGTGAGAAACAGGTGGAAATGGATCTTAGAAGATTTAGGTGAGTCTGAAAGCGGTTGAGAAATAGGCAGAACTGTGAGTTTGGATTATTACTCTTCACTTTCTCAGCCCTGATTTTTTGTTTTTTCAATAAGAGGAAAGTTAATAATTGACACCTTCTAAGGTTAAAGACAAACACACTTCTTTTGAGTCTGTTCAGTCTCGTGATGTCTTAACTACAAAAGTAAACATCAGTGTTTGAGGCTGTAAATCTACGTGGGAAGAGACTGCTTCACCTTTTTCTCTCAACGAGGCCGATGGGCTTGAACTGCTGACCTTTGGCACCCTAACCTGTAATATCCATGTACTGATTCTTTTCCCAGTCTTACTTTCCTTCTGTACTCAAGTATAAACACCTGCTATTTCTGTTCTCACCAGATCTTGTCTTGAGGGCGCAGTCTGCCATGTGTTAGTTCATCTGTCCCTTGTTTCAGGAAGCACAGGGTGGTGGAGTCCTGTGGGCACTGCCATGGAACTGTTTGACATAATTCATGGGTGGAATTAGACGACAGTGACAGACCAGTTAGAAAGGCCTTTATAAGATGAGGCAGGTTGTGAAAAAAAACATTGTTTGCCAGTAAGTGGCAAAAGTAACCATAGTGTTTCCGAAGGACTAAAGGAAACAAAAGCGTCAAAATTGGTAGAATCATTGTGGCTTTAAGGGTTGGTTTTACATGCCATCAAGTCAAGAACAAGTCATAGTGACCCTACAAACAACAGATCTGAACCTTGTCCTGTCCTGTGCCGATCTCACAATCTCTGACACACTGAAGCCTGTTGCTGTAGTCACTGTGTCAGTCCATGCCGAGGGTCTTCCTCTCTTTCGCTGTTCCCTTATCTTTCTGAGTGTGATGTTCTCTGAGGAATAGCCTTTCCTAGAAACATACCCAAAGCATGTGAGATGAAGCTCCACCACCTTGCCTTCAAGTAGCGCTCTGTCTGCGTCCTTTCCAAGACATAGAAGTTTGTTCCTTTGTCCATGGGATACTCAGTACTCCTCTCCGACAAACGCCACAGTTCAAAGGCATCAGTTCTTCTGTCATCCTTATTCATTGTCCAGCTCTCAGAAGCATCACAAATAATTGGAAAGACCACGGCCTGAATCAGGTGCAATTTAGTCCTCAAACTAACATGATTGCTCCTTAGTAACGTGGAGAATTCAGACTTCCCCAGTGCAATACATCTCTTGACCTCTTAACTGGATATTGGTTTTTCCTCATTCAGTCTTGTGATACAATAAATAGAACCACTGCATCATAACATAACCTTGTTTTGATGTTCCAAAGATGGATTTGCCAATTAGCAAGTCCTCCTTGATCCTTCTGCTTTGTGGGAGAATAAGACACCTTGTTATCAAAACTTCTCAGAAGTGAGTGCCATGTTGCTAGCTCATGTCAAGTGGTATGAAGTGGATATGGAGTAGGGTGGGATGGGAACTTAGCTCATTCAGTAGTCACATGAGGTCATAGTCTCATTTTTACAATGCGTGTTACTCCAGAAAGATGTAAGCCTGGGAGCCTTTGTCCATAGTCAGTAATTTTAAGCAGCCAACTTGATTGCCCTGGGGAATAGCGTCTGGGCCCAGAGTATTGGGGTCTGGAGGGTCAGGTAAGATCCTGGAGATGGGAAAGGGGGCAGAAGGAAGGGCTCAAACAGGCAAACCGAAGTAAGATGGCAGGTTCTCAGGAGGTTAGGATCTGAGGCTTAACTATGTTAACAAAAATGCAAAAAGAAGAAAGATAGGAAGGGTTTTGATGAAGCATGGTTAGTGCCTTTGGCTTCATCTCTGATGCTGCCCCAGACTTCACATTGGGGCCTCTTCTGAACCCCCAAGGGCAGGCCGTAGGGCCTTGGTTTCCTGGTGACTACCTTAATTACCTGAGGGGTACCTTTCATTCCTCAGGGTTTCAAAGGGAAGCAGACTCTTTGTTGTCAGTGACTAAACTCAGCACCATCAGTGATTCCAAGAACACAAGGAAAGCCCGAGAAATGCTGTTAAAACTGGCAGAAGAGACGGATATTTTCCCAACAAGTTGGGAGCTCTCAGAGAGATACCTCTTTGTGGTGGTAAGTGGCTCTCTTTCTCTTTGGTCCTAATGTTGGTTGACATTTTTGTCTTTTCTTCTTGGACATTTGCTAAACACAATGACAAAATGCCCAGATAGCAGTGCATTTTGTTCACGCTGACGGCATGCCATGGACCCCAGTGTGAGGCGGTGGATCGTGCCCACGTCCTGTGCCGTGGTGGCCAGTGACCTCAGACTCACCTGGAGGACTGTCACAATCCACATTTCTAGTCACATCCAGATCTCCTGAGGTTTGAGTTGTGGCTCAGGAGGTTTTTTTTTTTTTTCAGCCAATTTTGCTGCGGGGCAACTCTTAGAAACCTAAGTCAGAGTTATGAAAAATATAGCTTCTATAGCATAAGTTTGACAAATAGTTTGTAACAACTGTGAAAGTGGTGGGATGTTGCTTGGATCATAGAAACAAAGGATGAGAAGGTATCCCTAAATCTGCTGAGAAAAAAAATTTAGTAACATTTTAAAAAATGTAATAAAATTTTTATTAGCTTATTATTCTTTCTCGGCTGGATGATGTTGTTGGATGCGTTTCCTCACGGGCGTGTCGAATCGTAGCTCGGGGATGTATGGACGTTTTGGTTGTTTTTTGTTTTCGCAGGACCGTCTCATCACGCTTGACGCTGCAGAAGAGTTCTTTAAAATGGCTGTTCAGACTTACCCCAAGAAGCATCGAGTCCCATGCCCAGCAGAGGGCCGGAAGGAACTTGCATTTCCAAGTCCCTGAAGGGAGAGGCTCAGAGGCACAATTGAATTTCTTTCGCTGGAACTCAACCGCTAACCGGAGGTGGACAATTTCCTGTGAAAGAGAGTGAACAAGTAGAGGGGACGTGTTAAATGAGAGATGGGAGATTCCCGCCCCCGTGCTGCAAGGACCTTACTCTGTGAAATGTGGAATATTCTGGTGATCTTGACATAGAAAGAGAGCTGAAGAGTGGGTCCCTGGGATGTTTCATCATGGATGCTTAGATTCCAGGAAGAACTGAGTGTCCCACATGTAGTTTTAGGTACAGTAACCTCCTCCCACTAATCCTATTAGGAGAATGGGATGTATTAGTTAAGAAAACATTCCAGTTAGTAGACAGAACTCTCATAGAGGCCAAACATGGAGTATCAGTTTCTAAGTAGTTGTCATTCCACATAGATTAACACCAAAACAACAGTAGGGATAATGTGCCTTTCTTTGATTTGGAAGAACGTCTAGAACTGTAGATGGTGCCATTGGTGTAATGTTGGCAAGAATCCGTTAGGATTCTTCTAAAGGAACCACCAGGTACTGGAGATGTTTAGGAGTGTGCTCGGAAGGGAGTCCCAGATAGGACTGTAGACAGAAGCTCCTGCAGCCATGTGTAAAAGGTCTCTTCTCAGCTCTGGCATCTTAAATCTGCACATTATTGATAGCTGGGTACCTCATTTTTGCATGTTATCCATTTCTAACCCCAAAGTCCTCAGCATTGTATCTGAGATAGTATCTGCAAGTGGGAACTCCTGCCCACCTCAGCGTTTTCTTCAGTCAGTTTGTTCCTGGTTTGTTGGCTGAGAGAGGTATCAGAGCAGGGGGAGTCTTCCCTGCAGTCCTGCAGCTGAGAGAGGGAGTGCTACGTTGAGCAGGGTTGGTGGGGGGCTCCCAGCAGCCATCTGGAGGCTCTTCAGAATGGAGCAGCTTTGCAAACGGAGAGTGTTGCGTTTCTGTGTGTCTCCAGAAGTCCAGCTTCAGAAGTCCCTTACGTCTTAAGCAAGATGGTTGCCAGGATATTATGATTCCTTTCATCCAAAAGACTTTAAAGACTTGTAGGATTTAACAGTAGATTACTGTGAACATGCTGTCTTATCACCTTTACAGGTTTTGCATTGCTGACTTCAGGTTTTAAAAAAAGTACTTTGTATGTAGTCTGTTCAGGGAATTGTTGACTTGAAAATCTTTCTATCTTGACTTGTTCTTTCAGCAATGAAAAGAGATGTTTAAGGTCTTCATTAGGAGAAATGGAAATGTATGTGATCCACTTTCTTTTTTTAAAATTTTTTTGGGGTTTTTTTTGCGATCTACTTTCTTAGGGATTGCAGACTAAAATTCTTCCTCGTATAATGAGTAAGTTAAAAGTTTTCTATTTAATGCTTACATATTGTTTAAAATTAGCCTGTAGATATTTCCTTTCACTTATGTAAACTCTTACAAGATAAACCCACAGAGTGAAACAAATAAACAAAACCTATGAGAAAACAAAAACATTGTTGAATATTTTACCTTTTTAATGTTTGTACTGTAGATTTATGTTTTGTCTTTCCCCCTTCTCCCTATTTTTGTGTCAGAATACATGAAATTGTTTGCATCTATGAGGAATAAAAAATGTTATCGTAGTTTTTATTTTTGGTAATAGATGAATAAGTGTATGTTTGCCTTTATGATTATAAAAACAAGAAATTAAAGGCTTTCTGTATTGACTGTTTGGCTGGATGCGTATGTGTATTCTTTCTAAGAAATAAGAATGAACAGATATTCCTTCCATCAAATTCCTTTACATTTAAGGGCAGAGAGGCATAGACACAGATGAATTTCAGGATCTCAGCCTCATTCTAAAATTGGTCAATGGCAGATATGTGGTGAAGTCCAGTTCCCTGTGTCAACACTCCAGTGTATGAGAGAGACTTGAGAATGAAGTGGCCCGTGAAAGTCGTCATCAGAGATGTGGGAGAGATTCAAGGGTTTGCATATGTGATGAATGCCTTCCTGTGGATTGCTGCTGCTGCCTTCTCCAAGGCAAGGTCTTCTGTGCATGCAGGATCATCTCAGGCTGTATACGGATCAAAGTTTTATGTTGTTGTTTTTGTTTATTGTGTGTTGTTTAAGCATGACTCATAATGACCCTATGAACAAAAGGCTTGAAGCCTTTCTGTAATTATTGTCATTTCTCCAAGTTCATAGAGTTTTCAGAGGCATGTGGTTTAGGAAGTGGATTCCACTCCTGCTTCCACACCTTCTTAAACTGGGAGCTCCACCAAACCCTGTCCACCATGGGCAGCCCTTATGACATTTGACCCCAAACTGCACAAGGTTCAGCATCACAGCAAACCCAGATTACCTCAGTGCAGCAAAATGACAGAGGAGTGCTGTACACCTTAGAAGAGTGTTTTTCCAAAATAAAATAGCATTAGACCCTTGGGCCCAACTGACTAAAATACAAGGGATATATTAATATTTATTTTAAAAGCTAAGAACTCATTTCTCTCAAGTCAAAACTTGACTCAGAGCTGACCTTGCACTGAATTTCTGAGACTGTAAAGGACCCAGGAGGAGACTGCTCATCTTCTACCAAGGAACTCATGGCAGATTTGAACTGTGAAGAGGCATGACCTGTGGGTTAACAGAGCGACTTCAGCAGTTTGGCATCTCTTCGAAAAGCTGAACGTGCCGTCAAGTCACCTATGACTCATAGCGACCTATGCACAACAGCCCCAAACCGTGCTCTATCCTGTGCCAATCTTATCATCTCTGACACACCTACCCCAATTACCACAGTCACTGAGTCAGTCTACCTCATGGAGGGTCTTCCCCTCCTGCACTGTCTCTCCACTCTCCCAAGCATGACGTCCTTCTCCAAGGACTGATCCTGCATTACAGCATGTCCAAAATACGCCAGATGAAGCTTAAGAATCCTTACCTCCAAGGAGTAGTCTGGCTTCACCCTCTCCAGAATGAATTTCATTTGTTCACCTAGCAGTCTGCGGTTAGGGACCTCTCTAAAGTACTCAAGAGCAACGGTATCTCTCTGGAGACTAAGGTGCGCCTGATACAGGTCATGGTTTTTGCAATCACTTG